GGCGGGGGCTGTCGGTGGGTTCTAGCGTGGTTCTCTGCGTCCCGTCACCCGAATGTGTTTTTTTGCTCCTTACCCAGCAGAGTCAGGATTCATCTGCTCGCCCCGGGTGCACGTCTGTTCGAGCAGCCAGTTGTCTCATGAAATGTGTTAAGAGTAACCTGACAGAATATTGTTTGCTGGTCAGCTGTAAGGATCAGCCCTTCCCTTCTTCCTTGCTCTGGGGCCACACAAAGTTACACCAGCGCAACTGAAGGGCTGGGCAGAGCAAGGGTCAGAGTGGATGGGTGTCTCCTGTACCAGCATTGCTACTGAATGCTCCTATTGTGATCGTGCCACAACATCAATAATGGCAATCAAGTCTTTTTCATGTGGCATAGACAGAATTTGTGCATGATTTAATCCGAATCTGTATTTTTGCTGCCTACTGTAAAAACATTTGATTTGGATAATTGGCTGTGGTGACTCACATGTAGGAGCAGATTTGAAGAAATCAGTGTTCATCTGCTTTAATGTGTTTATCAGTAGCCTGGAGCATTCATGGTCTGATTCATGATGTATTCATGATGCAGACAATATTGTCTATAAGAGTGTTAGGGTAGAAAGCTGAAAATGATAATCTCTAACCAGTCCAGCTCAATCTTCTAGTGCATATGAATCAGTGCCCTAAGACAGGTCTCCTAGTACGAGACAGAGGGAAGCTGAAACTAGAGGATTTCCCCCATCCTGGAAACATTCGAGGTCAGGTTGGACGGGGCTCTAAGCAACCTGATCTAGTTGAAGATGTCCCTGCCTACGACAGGGAGGTTGGACTAGGTGACCTTTAAAAGGTCCCTTCCAACCCAAACTATTCTATGATTCTGTGATTTCTCATCTGTCCCTCTTGTAGCTCAGCTTAATGCCTCTTCTGTTTCCAGGTCATTAAATACTTCTGTCTCTGCTTCCTGTACACATTCCCCAAAGCTTTAGGATACTTAAACTGGAGGAGTGGATATTGTATAAAGAGGGAATAAACACACACTAATGGTGTACTTTTCCATATGACTAAAGGAAAAAATACCATGCATCCAGGACCAAAGAATAATCTCCTACTTTTAGAGTGGGAAATGCATCATGAAGTGATGAAGTAGTGACTCTAAAGAGGATTTGAGGTAGGTGGTCAACTAAAACACATGATCTCAGTGCAACGTTAATTCAGAGGTCCGAAATACATCTGAAATGAATAAATGGAGATTTTGAGTAAAAATCTGCCTGTTCTGGAAAGTTATGTCCAATTCTAATCTTAGGAAGTTAGAAAGTCTTCTGATAAATTGGGGTTCAGTGACCAATCTTAGGCACGATTAAAGGACAGGAAACTATGCCTTTTCATCAGCTTAACAAAGCTATTTTGCTGTAGAGCTTAACAAAAAGGACATGGGGGGATAATTCAGTCACAATCTGCAGGTACTTATCAGGTAGAAAGCTTTTTCTATTTTGTAATGGAGACTTACAAAATGAAGAAGGGAGAGATCCAAAGAGTTCTTGTGATTGAAATTTAGAACTGGTGTAATTTAGTCTGCTCAGAAATTATATTTAACCTGTAAATGGCCACTGGAACAATTTACTGAGGGGATGCAGTGAATTCTTCACTAATGTAATGTACCTAATCAAGGAAGTATTTCCCACTGCCTCACAAGGGTTTGTTCACTTTTTAAACAGAGTAAATTTAAAGACCTCATGTAGGAACAGGGAGACATCATAAATATACTAATGGCTTCTCTTCTGAAAATCTAGTGCTACACTGATTTATGGAAAAAGAATAGAGATTTAATTTCCTAATTGTATAGATTTTAGAAGTCATCAGTGTCTGTTCAATGGTAGGAAGAATATTCTGCTTAGTAGTAGTGGATTTCCATAATCATCTCCTTGAATCAGTCTCCCTTATTCACTTAGGGAAACTTTGGAGCTTAAATGTGTGATATTTAAAGACTATTGTTTTAAACAGTGACATAGCCTAGAAGCAGCAGGCTTTGAAATCATGATTCTTTTATGTGGCCATTAGAAGCTTTTTTCAGAATTTGCTGTCCTCTCAGGAGAAAGATGCGTGTTCCCTGCAGGACCAGTAGTGTGGTACTGCGCTAAATGGCCTCCAGATAAGACGGTGGTTAATTTTTTTTTTATTTTTTTTTTTAAGAGGTGGCTTTTCCATGTTAGGATTTGAGGCTCATCATACGTGGTTTGGACTGGCTTGCATTATAGCTGCTTCTTGCACTGTACATTTATGAGTGAGTGCATTGCTTCAGTTTTCATGGCTATTCTATCTTTTATCAGCAAAAAAATCCTATATGACTTCAAAAAAATTGCAGTCTTAGCTAATAGAGGCACTTGACGACCTGGAAAAAAAAATCTCTGACTATGCTGAACACTTCACCAGAAATATTTTAAATACACATTTTTCCCTTGTTTCTTAATAGGAATATTTGCAAGATCTTTGCTTCTTCATCACCAGAAGTTCCAGTTAGTTCTTGTGGAGATGGCTGGGAGAGCCTCAAAAAGAGGATTATGAGGTGGGAGGGGGACGTGAGGAGAGATGCACGTGAGGTGGCAGTTTTCAGCAGCAGTGACTTGAGAGAGATTGCTGATGGCCTTCTTCCCCCACGCTGGAAGAAGCAGGATAAAAGGTGTAAGGACTTGTGCTACTTCTGCATAATACAGAGAGATCTTCAGAAGTCTAGTGACTGATTTATTTCCTTCTGCTGCCCAAGATGGACCTGCTGTAAGCGTCGCGTTCAGTTGAAGTGGAGAAATACTGGTTAATTGTTTTTGTAACATTCCTGCATTTGGTGTTGTCAGCACTTGATGCTGTCTTGTGTTGTAGGAGGATGATGGCTCAACAAACAATCCGTATTGTCACAGATGCATAAATAGTTCAGCAAGAAATGTAACACAGGCACTCTGATACTACAGAAACAATAAGCAGCAGGGACAATAGAACATCTTGGGAAGAAATGTCTTCTGGTGAGGCAAACATCATCTGGAGGATTAAAGGAAGTGTTCTAAATAGAGAAATGGCTTTTAAATAGATTTTCTGTGATGCTGTTACAGATCTTTCAAGAATGAAGATCATTGATGTATTTTATTGATGTTCCTCGGTGTTTCAGATAAACATCTATCGTGTGATTTGACTAAAAGTGTATATAAATTTTGATTGCTTGATCTGAAAGAGAGTTTTATCAGCACAAGTGGTGATACTTAGCCTTTTACCAGCACAGTAGCCTCTGGGTCATGATGGTTTTAGACGTGAGTGCTGTCATTCTTCTGATACTCAATACCTGCATTTTCTACTGGGTGATCAAAGCACTGTATTTCGGTCTCTAACAGATTTAGCTGAAGAAAGTCCCACCTTTAATTTTCTGTTGTACCCGTGTACTGGAGTTTACTGTCACCATTTCAGGTCTGGCTCATTATGTTGTGCCTCTTGAACCCAACTTTTATAACCCAAAGAGAGAAATGCATGTATTGTTCCATTTGTCTCTGCTGTTGGACAGTAACTTCTGGCAGCCGTGAACATGTAAACCGCCTCAGCCAGTGTAGCAAAATCTGCAAGTGGTCTATGAACTGAAGCCCTTTGTTATACTCGGTCTCTTCCTCAGCACGTACTAATAAAAAGAAGCAATTCCACAAGCAATGAGACTACTCAGTTTTGGTCCAGACTTTTTTAATCTCTTTATTCCTTGTGAGATCAAACCAGTGCTGTGTTATCTTTCTACACTTGTAGGCAGATTTCTGCCTTTCTGTAGCTGCTGTATTTTGGGGGACAAAACAGTGACTAATGCAAGGGCAAAGCTGAAAGAACTGAGGAAAATGTGATACAACCTTGTGTACAAACATAGAATGGATTTCTTTGCAATCCTTATCTGGAGGAAAAAACCACTTCTGTTTCCAGTTTTTATCCATATTTTGTCAATTTGACCAGTTAAATTATATATGAGATGCATGCAATACTTTATTTAGGACATTCTGTCTGGCAATGTGGAGACAAAAATTCTATTCTAAATTTAGATATATTTGATGGAGCATTGTTTTTTATTTTCTTTAAAGGATATTATCAATTCTGTATTAAGAAAAAAGTTATTAAAAAACCCTTTTCATTATTTCATATGATGGAAGTGTATTTAAGGAAACGATCAAGTAGGCAGTTTGAAAACTACTAAGACGCAGTGGAGTAATACAGTTAGTAATATGAGGATCTTTAACTGGATCATAACTTGTTTGTCCTGATCTACTAGATTAGTGGCAAGCTTCTCTTACTCTGAGTAACTCCCTCTGACCTCATCTGCAGTCTCTGAGCAAGTCATCCTGTGGATATTGTGCCCTCCTTTCTATGGGGATTCTGGCTGTGAGATAAGTTGTTTCCTTAGGTTAACCATGGTAGTAAAACTGAAAGTAAACGATCTGAAAACCATTCCAGCAAGTGCTTTCTGATTGACAGTGTTGTAGTTAATGCTTCTGTTCCTGATAGCAACAATAGGTCTAGAGGTATTGGCAGTCCTGCAGGCAAGTGGCTCCAGGCAGCTTACTCCCACCAGGATTTTACATGGATGCAGCTAGAGGAAGAGAGGAAAGCGAAACCAAGTGGGTGATACTTACACTTTGGTAAGCTTGCTTTTCCTTACCAAAGTGACTCTGCTGGATCCTGCCACCCCTTCTTGCTCTGGGGACTACATGTTATTGTGTGCCTTACAGGATCACCAGTTGCAACAAGTTCAGCTGCTTTCCTGGAAATCCATGAAGATATTGCTCCAAAGCTGCAGTGCTGGGATGTTGCCATGCGCCTGCTCACACATCTGTATTTGAAGGAACAACAAAGGCCTGTTGTCAGTAGGCCTCGCTCCCAGCAGTTGCTCTGGTCACCAGCTGGGTGATTATGTATTGATAAATGTGGGACGATGTTAAAATGCAACTCTGGAGTTGGGTTAATTAACTAAACCATTGATCATTTTAATACCTCCTCAATTTTATGGGAGCAGTTTCAGCCAGACCTCCTTGTGTACCAATGACTTTTCCTTACTAAAGGTCTGTACCTTAATATTTCTGTGGGTAGGTAAGATCTTACTGGTCAATGGAGTGCTAGATAGTTCTTGCAATCACAAGTACACACAGAATTTGTACAGCATGAAATATCTTCCCCCAAACCCCAACTTTATGTCCCTAAATTTCAGATTACTTAATGTGTATGGAAATTGTAATCCAGTAAAACTCAGGGAAATACTGAAATTGCTATAGTACATTTATTTTCTGCTGCTATGTTTTTAAATTTTATTTCAGCTTCAATAAAATGGTTTCATGTGTTTTATATCTGACATTGTTTTTCCTTTCGTCCACCGTCATCTTGCCCGCTTCCAAATAAAGGAAGGAACAGAGGTGTTTTGGGATGCTGCGTAGGAGAATTGAAATGTGTGGCAAACAAGCGGCAGATTCTCTTTTCTTTTGGGTTTAGTTATGTTAGCAAGATAAATCACTAACAATTACATTTTCTGGCTTGGGTGCCATCATGATAACCTGGTGGGGAATTAAAGGAAGACATGGCTAGCAGAGAGCTAAAAGTGCTGCACAGAAATGAGCATTTCCTACATCTGCTGTAGTAGAATCCACCAGACGTGGCAGTGTGAATTTCAGATTTGCAAGAAGGATGCTGTTTTTTCATGGCTTTAGCTTTGTAGAGAGGATTACTTGATAAAATTCTGGGCCTCTTTCAAGGATAAGAAGGGAAACTGGGAGGATTTAGAGGTGAGCTCTAACTTCTCACTTGTGTCACTGGCAGAGTTCCCTTTACTCAGAGGGCTTCAGTGTTGTTCCAGATTTTGTTCTAGCTATGTTTCGCCAGACATACTGTTGTATCCTCAGAAGACAGCTTTTCTAGTCCTTGCATAGCTGTTATTTGCAAAGATCTCTGCGTTATCTTAAAGGTGGAAAGATGATCCTGAACCTGATCCTCTCTGCAGGCAGAGCTCCAATGTATGTAACTGAAGAAGGACAGATGATGGTGTTCACGTGTCCTTAAATGAGAGTGTGGAGTATCTTAGGTAAATGAGAAGATAGATGGATAGGCCTGTGCAAATGTGATGCAGGGTACTGTGGAACAGCAGTGGGAGGGCTCAGCTGAAACATGACTTGCTTATGCTGGGGATGCTTCACCAAAAACTGTAGCAATATAGTCCTTTCAGAAGTGGTTCTGTTGCTTTTAAAGAAGGTTGTTTTAAGAGCACGTTTTACTTTATATGGCAGAAATTCTGTTTTTGGTTGCTACCTCAGCATCCCCTGATTCCTGCCTATGGCACTAAGTTTGCTCAAAAATAAAGCATTTCAGCCTGTGAGAAGCTAAATTATATACATTTAATAAAGGGGGTCCCTCTTGAAATTCAGTGGTTTGTGGCATGCAGAGGATCAAAGGAGATCATCAGATAGTCCCTTTTGGTCTTTAATGTGTCAATTCTAGGATACAAAGAGATCATGTGGAAGAGAAGCAAAGGAATTCAGGCTAAAAAAGAAAACCGTGAAGTCTAAAGATACGCAATAAAGTCTCTTGTGCCAACGTAGACTTACCCATCGTGATCTCTGGGGAGCAATGACTGGAGATACTTTTTTGCAATTCACTTTTTATCTGCTTCATCAGGCAAACCAACAGCACAGATGTCTCACGATGCTCTTGGTTTCAAACAGATAGTGGTGTAAAGGGTTGTTGTTAACTTCGTTGAGACAATGTGTGGATTTACAGTCAGAAGGATGGAAGATGTGGCCATGAGAGGGGCACGAGGTGGTGCAAATGGTGGTATTGCAGCCCCTGAATTCTCACAGTAGTTAAGCAATGTGGGGGTTTTTATTATCCAGTGACTGAATATTCCTCAGAAAGTCCCCTTCCGTGCTGTAACAAACCAAGTGGTCAAGCAATGGGAGTATTTGGCAGATGTGATACTGAATCTCGGTTCATATTGGATTCTCTGCTTGAGAACGGATGGTTAGAGGCGGGTGGAAGGTCAGACGTGCTCTCTATAGCTGGGGTATAGACTTGTTGGGGAACCTGGCAGATGATGATTGCTATCTATAGCTTATAACTGTTTTTAACTTTTTTAAAATTTTCATCTTTTATTACTAATTTACATGTTTACTGCTACTAGAAGACAGTGGTTTTCTTGTAGTTCCCATGGCATTTCATTTTGTTTCTGTTGAAGCAGAAGAAACAGGGTTCTAGACCCAGGATAGGAGCAGGGGAATAGAAACCTCATTTTTCTTCAGTACCTGGATTCATTATAAGTGGGATGCTTGGTTTTGTCCATCTCATGTTTTGCAAATAAATGGGATAAGCCTTTGTTCTTAAATCATAATTTTTTTTCCATTTGGCATAAGTATGTGCCTTCTCATGCATTTGTAGACACCCAGCAAGCACCTGCTGAGGCATAACTCCTGCCCCTGCAGCAGCTGTAACTGCTTTCCTAACTAGCAAATGCTGCATAAGACTTCAAAGATTCTCCAATCTCCTTTTTTTTTTTTTTTTTTAATTACAATTACAATTAATGTGGGTATCACAGTGCACGATGGTGTCACACAGTAAATCCCTTGAGTCAGTTTTAACTGGTATGTATAAGCTTTTGAAATGGTGTATTTTTCTTTCATGGCAAGAGCACAATTATATTGGTATTTTCACAATTCTATTTCAGATGACAAGAAGCAGATGGTTGCAAATATTGAGAAACAGCTCGAAGAAGCAAGGGAACTGGTATGTTTTGGCTTTTCATATGTTAACTGCAAGTTCCTAGGGAAAATAATAGGATCGTTAGTGGTAACATTTAACACACATGATGCCCTAAAAACGCTTAACAATAATAAATGAAATAATATAATATAAAATATCATATTAAAAATGATATAAAATGAAAATGAAATAATATTTTTGAAATAGTTATTATTTGAGGATATGAAATACCCAAAAGGAGTGTATCCTTTGTTAATCTTGTGTTAAGTGATTTAAGGTTTGCGTTATTGCTGTAAGCTATTACAGGCTGCTACAGGCTTTGAGTTGTGGATTAGGTACTTTACGAATTGACCTAAATATTTACACACCTGGACTGTTTGTTTTTTTCTTGTAGGACCCATGCATCTGCTTGATTTAATCTGTCTGATTGTCTTGTAGAGCAGTAGATCTTTTTTTTCTCTTTTAGTGAGTGAGACATTAAGATATTTAGTTGTTTGAGGTCAAGGGGGCAATGGTAGCGTGATCCAAGAAGAGTATGTCTGTTAACGAAGCATTAGTTAGTGGTCCGCACTGACAGAAGAAAGCAATATATGTTAAGCAACTGTGACTTTTTTTTTAATTTGTTCCCATTACAGCCTGTCATGTCCTCCATGTGGAGGGAGTATAAAAGTAAAGTTTTGTAGATGTGGACTAACTGAGCAAAGTATTGGTGACAGTTGAGATTGACTTTTTCCCACATAGCCAGTACTTCCTTGCCTGAAGTTGCTTTTGTTTATTGCTTGCAAATGAGTTTGGTCTATCTAGTGTCAGAAATGTAATCTGACTGTTAGAATAGGGAAAGGAAATTAGTTCTAGCCTGAAAGTTCTTATAATTGAGCAACTTGAGTCAATTATTTGGTTGCTAACTAAACAGTAATACTGAAATTCACTTTTTAAAGTGGCATGGGAAGAAAAAGGACTCTAGAGTTTTTGTGGACATACCTGGTGCTTTTAGTTTAAGAATTGGATTAGTGTTGTAGACCGGCGCACTGGAATAGCATCCAGAAAAGCTGGATCTTGGGATGACTCCACTGCAGGTTTACCCTGGATGGCAAGGTGCCTAACCTCTCTGATTTGGTACTCTCAGTGAGAAACACGGTAAAATTACTGTCCCAACTCATGAGATTGTTCTGGAGATATATTAAGGCCTTTTGGGCACTTTTATATTCAAACAGCTGAAAGAAAGTAAAAATCTAGAAATGTTTTTCATCTCCTTTTCACTACAACTTGACATGGCAAAAAAGCATAGCAGTACAGGGACATGGTAGCATGGGTGGTCTAATGAAAAATAATTCAAATTTGGTTTTCTACTCAAAGTAAGATTGGAAGGAGCAGAAATTGAGTTAATGGCTCATTACTTTTCTCCTTGTGTCAGAAAAAGACCATCTAAATTTGTATTTATTGTAAGATTAAAACGTAAATCCTGTATCTGTACCTTTATCCTAATGATGATCTTCATTTAATGTACTGGCTTTTCTTTCACGCTTTTGTTTTAGATCTTGTTGCTAATGCTGCTAGACAGGTGCTTAATTCAATTATTGGCTTTAAGCAATTACCTAACATGTTTGTGATTAATGTCAAGGCTTGGGTTTAAAAATCAATTCGGACAAATCTGCTAATAACAGAAGTGATTAAAAAGATCCTCTTTTAAACTGAAGGCTGCAGTAGAAAATCAAAATAAACCTAATTCCTTGCTACTGGTAGTTTTCATACATTGGTTTGCTTCATTGTCCTGAGTAGTCAAAGCTGGGTTTAGCTGATTTTGTTTTATTTCCTTCTTGGCTAGGAAATAACACTCTCATGCATTATAAATATTATTGTAGAGATAATTTATTTACATTGACTAACCATTGATTGTTTTAAAACACTGTCTGCTTTGTTTGGGTAAAATCACTGGTGTAATTGATTTGATCTACGTGCAGGACTGACACCAACACTTTTCAGGCTCCCAGGCTGCCTTTTCAAGCCAGAGCTGTTGAGTAAGAGATCTCTGGAGAGAAATCCTGCCGTTCTACATCCCATGTGGAGTATCTGAATGTTATTTTTACCAGGTTTTTGGGAAAGGTGAATGTTGTGATAACCTTAGGGAAATTCTTTGAGTGTAAAATCTAGCATGTGCTAGAAGAGCTGGAATTAGCATTTTTAAGTGAAATTTTGCTTTTAATAAGAAAAAACAGTCTGTGTATTATTTGCCTTTATGTTTTATGGATGGTCACATCACAAAATTCTTGTGTTGCAAATGCTAGGTTAAACCCATGAGGAGCCTTAAGGATGGGGCCTGGTTTATGAATTTGGGCACGAGTTAGGTGCCAAAATGCTCAGCTTCACCACAGTGGTGGCAAGTTTGAACATAAGCAATAACAGAAGTTTGAGCTTTTAGGTTTTCTGAAGAACACTTGAGCTTCTACAGATGTTTTGAGATTTAAGTGCCAGGTTATTTTTAGCTTTTCATAGAATTTAGCTCTGTTCTTGCTTGTGTATGAAAAATATGGTTTTATGACCAATAATATGAGGCCTGAAAGTGAAGATGCATGAAAGTAGATTGCATTTAGGTTCACACCTGCTTGGACCACTATCTTCTGCACGACTAGGCATAGCAATGTATCAGCTCAGCCACAAAATGTACCCATTTGATCTCATGATGCCAAAAAAAAGATGTTAAACGTTGGTCAGCCTAAATATGCATGCTTCATCCTTGTTCCTTGGACCTTACACTCTCTGATACTGACTCTTTAGAATTAACATTTTGGATTTCATGGACTGTGGTCTGATCCTTGCTGCAAATTCTGTATTGACTGGGAGATGGTTTCATTTTTATATAATAGGTAAGAACTGAGACTTCATTAAAGTATCCCGACCTTGCATATATATGACCTCATATATATGAGAGGAATGTTTTCTATGTTTATAGAACATTTGAGATCAAATATATTGAGATGAAATTGATAAGAAATAAGCCATTAACTCCAGCTATCGGTTTAATTTATAATACCCCTTTGGAAAGTTAAGCCTGAGCCAAAGAACTGGGTAGAATTAGAAATTGCTTTGTATGTTTCAATTCATTACTGACTATTTAATTAAAGTTTGCTTTACAGTTTATTATTGAGTATAATTTTGTATAATCAGAATAGATCAGGCAGAATGACTTTTGAGTATGTGGTAATTCCATTGATTAAATTCAGATGCTTTTCTTATGATATGAGGATGAAATTTCAAAGTGTAAGCAATCGATTACATAGGAATAAACTGTAGCTGTCCCTTGTGAAGACCCGTAACCAGTAGCTTGGGACCCTAACTGAAAGGCATTTCTATTCCAATGCCATACTGCTCAACTGAGATCAGTAGGAGGTGAGTAAATATTGTTTCAGGTGCTTGCAGCAACCAAGGAGAGGTATTCTTTTATCTTTTTAGAGCAAGTTGGAAAGATTTTTAAAAGGCAGGTAAGAGATTCTTCAGCTGTGCAAAATAGAATTCCCGAACAGACAGCACCATGTAGTGGAGGCTCCATGACCCAGTGGGCAGGTAATTAGCAGGCAGCTCAACCCTGGTTTATAACTCCTTTTGATTTTCTGTACCTCTCTGCCATATTCTTGCGTTCCAAGCCCCTTAGTATTCTACATGGCAAGAATAAATAGAATATATCTTTCAAAACCTTTTTCTATCTCTGATGTTTTAATGCATTTGACTGTATGCAAGTTCTTGAATAGCATTGTCGTTAAACCCTGAAATTCAGCTATTTAATATACCTACATACAGATTTGGGATGCAGATTTAGGCAGTTAGTTCAGGCTTTGTAATTCTGCTGAGTAAGCAGTATTTAAAAGAACAAGAATTATTTTATTAAACATAAAGGCTGGTAGTAAATAAAACTTTAAATGTGTGTATATATACACACACACGTATATACACATATACATGTGTATGTATATATATACACATACGTGTGTGTGTGTATAAAAACAAACAAAATACCTTTTTCAGCCAAGGGTTTCCAAAATCACACAGCTAGATGGAGGTAGACTTTCTTCTGAACTATGCTCATTTGCAGACAGTTATTTAACCTCAGTTTTCCTATTTTCTTGTAATAAAATGTATTCATCACATTTGGAATTGAAATCCAGAAATGTTTGACTAGAATCATTCCTTCTAAGTGTTAATAATATTAATTTTGTCACTTGTTTGTTGACTTAAGGCTATGTAAAGATTTTGATAAATTTTTTATATATTGCAGAATAAACAACATTTTTCTTGATAAAGAAGGAATATTTCTTAGTATTTGTGAACAATTTAGGTAAATTCATCCTTGCTTTAATTACCCTTTTGATTTACATCTTTTCTTTATTTTTACTTGCTAGCTTGAGCAGATGGAACTTGAAGTTCGAGAGATCCCACCTCAAAGCCGAGGAATGTACAGCAGTCGAATGAGAAGCTACAAACAAGAAATGGGAAAACTTGAAGCTGATTTTGTGAGTGTTTAACATATAATATAATGAAGGCATCTATGAGAATTTTTAAAATATAATAGTGCAGTTATTCAGGCAACTGAGAGGATATTTTTGACTAGTGTGAGATACAAGTTCTGCGTCTATCTTGCTGTATTTATGGAGAGATGAAAACCTAATGGAGGAAGGGAAGCTTTGCTTTTTGTAGCAGTCTCATACGAATACTCAAGTTGCTAGTCTTCTGTCCTTTTGCCCTGAATCTGAATTGTTTCTTTTTCAATTAAACGTTGTGAGTGTTCATGCTGTAGCAAAAATAGTCAGCTTTTAATCCTATTTCTCAAGGAATGACTGGTAGAACATCAGAATTAATACTTAAATTACAATGTAAGTATAGCCTGAGTGGAAGATAATGGTTCATTTAAGACAGCTTGTAGTAATGTGGGCAGTAACATGAAAAGCAATATAATCTCCAATCAATGCTATTTTTGAATGTAGTTTATCTCATGTGCGTTTCATTTCTTAGTCTCTGTGATTTCTTTTCCATTGCGCTTAGATTCTTTGTATAAATTGGTTATAAATACTACATTTTTCAAGTAATGGATGTAAACTAACAAGATTCCCTTGTCTAAAGGCTTCTGCTACAGTTATCAGTCCTTTTTTGTGATTAGGATTTGCACTGAATAGATTTACATAGAGACAAAACTGTTTCCTTTAAAATCCTGAAAAAGTTCAAAGGGATTGCAAAGTGTAGGAAAATGCTGTGTTAATTGGCAGCAGCTCAGTTCCTCCAGGGTAGGGAGAAAGAAATAACTGTTGGCAGTATTTTCCATTCACTGGAGAACTGTGAATTTTCTCGGGTTGCTGGCAGCAGTTTGTTCCTTCAGGGGAGGGGAGTCAATGTTATTACCTGCAGCCAGGAAATCCAGCTGACTGTCACTCCTCTGTGCTTCTGCCAAGTTGAGAAGTTGCACAAAAATGTATTAGTTAGAAGATGGTTGCAATTTTGTAAAATTTGAGGAATGTCACGATAAAAAGACTTGCATCAAAATTTTGAGACAATCTCATGCTGTCCCGCTGTAGCAAGTGCGTATGGCCCTTCTGGCTAAACAGTGGCTTCCAAGAGAGAGCAGTTTCTGGACCAGTCGTGAATGCTGTTTATCTTCTCAGATGTGGGAGAATTCACTTTCAGCATGTGTTTGTTGCTGGCCTATTTCTCTATGTAGGCAGAAGAGGGGAATTGGTACTTCCATATTCCCAGGCAATAGGGAATGGGAGAGTTCAGAATGGGACACTCCTTATGGAAGAGGAGAAACGAGCGTGTGTGGAAGAAATGCATCAGAGCACTAGGAGTTACGTGATCGAAAGAAGGTAAGTTTGTGCTCAGAGCGAAGGAGCAAAAACAGCATGAGAAAGAGGAAGGAACAGATCATAATAATGGGAAAAAACAACAGCCCAAAACCCAAGGATGGCATTCAGCAGAAGATCAAGGAAAGAAAGTGGAGCCAAGGATGGAGCAAAGCACTGAAAGAAAAGCAGCTGTGCTTGGAAAAATCTGTTATGTAGAAAATAGTGTTGTTACAACTAAATTCCCTACATAATCCCAGTTTCTAAGTATGAACATTTTTCCAAGTTTGTATGTGAGGGTTTGAGATTCTTTTTGGATTATTCTCCAGTCAACAGCAACTTGTTGGAAACTATGTAACAAAATGATTCAGTTGTGAGTTCAAAGAGGGAAGAGAAGGAGGGACAGGAGATGTTATTTTGATTCTATAAGCTGCAGGGCCACTGAAGGTAGGAAGTTGAGAGCATTTGCTGAAATGAAAGTGCTTTTGAGTGTTTTGCCTGAATATTGTCCTGAATGAGTTGTGACCTGTTTGACTGTAAGCAAAACATACAGAGTTTATGTAAGAACTTTAGTAGGCCTTTAGGGAAAGCAGATCTAAGTACTTTTAAAGTGAATTCACATTTATACATGAAGGGAAATTCTTAACTGGGAATGACACTGGCAGTGTCAGGTTAGGATCAGCTTACAGGTTTGCTGCTCAAAGTTCTTGGCTTTTCCAAAAGGCACGCAGATGTGAGCTTCCAAAGTTAATTGTTGCTCTTTATAAACTGAGTTGGAATCTCAGCTGGATCCCAATGTATTTGGCTTGGCCTTTCTTCCTGTGTGAAGCAGCATGTGCACTGAGGAAAGGACATTTCTCAATCACCTTGAAGTGTGTGTTTCATTTTAAAGAAATAATCTCTGTGAAATGAATTGCAAAAAATGTATACCTCAGTATACAGTCTTTTTCAATAAGTTCTCTATTTCAAACATGAAGTGAACGCAGAACTGGGATTGGTAGTTTTCTTTTATATTCATCATAATGAACATGAGTATTTATCTTGTGGTTCTTTGCATGCCTTATAGCATCTTGAAAATTTGCCCTCACCCAGGCAGTTATGGAAAACAGCAGCACAGCAACATATTTAAAAGTTAGGAGACAGTCCTTGTGGACTGTCCACAAGGATAGACAACATTAGGATTTATTTGTGACATGTAGTATCTAATTAGTGAGTTTATGTGATCTTGGGCAATATGTGTAAAAATGACAAAACACTGGACCATCACTTCGATATTATTTACTACATACTGCGGCATCTTAATGAATATTTAGTGTTTTTTTTCCTGTGCACTTTACTATGCCAGAAGTGTATTCTGAAAAATACGGATTTGAGCTTAGCTGAGCTGTACTTTGAAAAGTTACTCAAAGCATGGCTTGTTTGTCTCTAACTTTCTAATCAAATAGGAACAAGTTGCAAATAGGAGATTTATTTCCGCTCCTTGCTAAGCCTTGTTATCTTGAGTCATGCCTGCATGACCATTATTGGTGCTCTGTGGTCCAGAGGCATGTGTGGAGGCAATGACATCTACCCCACATGCACTGTATTGCACACGGGTAGTTGGTATCCTACCATTATTGGTGCTCTGTGGTCCAGAGGCGTGTGTGGAGGCAATGACATCTACCCCATGCACTGTATTGCACACAGGTAGTTGGTATCCCACTAATTGCATTGAATCATACCTGAGGAGAAAAAGGCACCTTGCTCCATCTTGGCCCTCCCTCTGGGAGGGAACAGTGGGAATGAAAAAAAGAATAGCTCAATTTTGTCATTAAAAGTACTCAGATAGCATAGCACTGGGGATACGGATGGGGAAAATTAACAAAGCACCTGAACGTAAGGCAGCAGTGGTTTCTGATGCTTGCGTCAGCTGTGCGGTCTTCCATGCGGAGCAGATGCCTGGGGAGAAATATAAGAATAGGGCAAGCATAAAGTGATACTTCTTTGCAAAAAAGCTGTATACACCTCAAAAGGCTAAGTTTCAGGCTTGCTTACTGTGTGTGATAAACATGTCAAAATGGAGTAAAACTGTTTGTTAAGCCTTATGTTGTCTTTTTTAACTTGCAGATGTAAATCTTGGTTTTATGATCTTATTTTCAATAGAATATCCCAGTACTGCATTTTTATAGTGGGGTTTTGTTCCTGTTAGGTCTCGAAAGCTGTGGTCCCAAACCCGGGGCTCCTGCACAGACCAGGCTTGCTGGGTTGCAAAGGCTGTGGTAATGGCTCTATCTTGTGGCCTGAACTGGAGTTGCAGACCACGTACTTGTGCTTTCTGGGTTGATTAAGGTCTTGGGACCACCTACTAAACAGTTCCTGAAATTTAAAACAATCTTCCTATGAGCAGGTTTTTTTCCTGCATCTAAGAATGCACCATTATGTGGTTCAAGCTTGTAAATACTTTGTTTTTGACTATTTCAGAATGTCCATGGTGACTGCCTGCATGAAGTAAGTTCTGAATGCAAAAAAAGCTTTGTATTTTGTTGTAGTCTTCTAAGTACATGGACTATAGGTATTGTTTATTTTTTCGAATAAAGCATTTTTTAGTTAATTGTTACCTGAAAATAGCCAATGATCTTTAAGCCGTGAGGATATGCAGTGGTAAGAGGCTTTCCAGATTTTATAAAAATACTTTGACCTGAATCTATCCCAGGTCATGTGAAACTGTAAGTATATAAACTTAGCAATGTGTGGTTATCTGCTAGCATTAGTATTCACCACAAGGGTTCGGTGTACTGGCTCAAAGTCAGGGCACCATAAAAAAAGGAAAAACAAAAAAAGTGGGCATTTTCCTGAAAAGCATACAGCTGAAGTATGAGGCATTCAAATAGATGGGGAAATGTAAAAATCCAGTAAGACCATATTACACAGTAATATTCCTATTACAAAAATGAGTACTACATAATCAGTGCCAAAAGTGGGATGGGTGTATTCAACAAGAAAAATAGCCATCAAATAAAAGAGGAGGCATAGGAACTGTTCCTATTCTGTCATGGCAGCTCTTTTCCCATGATAGTTCTTTTGCATGACTCTGAAGTACCACCTGAGCCCAGAAGCTCACCTGAAAAACTGCTGCAGCTGTGTCTGTTATATTCTGGCTGCTTTTTGCAAATATTACTACCCTTATTTCAGGTTCAGTCACCTACCCAGACAAATATTCATATGGCTATAAGCTTAATGAATTACATTTGTCAAATGACAAGTTAGTGGCCTGTATCTTTATGGCCAGAGTCTTCCCTAGCTTTCCAGTTTGAGCTAAAAGTTTAGAGACAAGTGGTGCTGCTGGATTATTTTGATTTATAAAGCAAAGCATTATTGCTTATAGGTACAAAATCATAAACTGTGTGTGGGACAGATGTGTGTATCTTCATAGTTGTATCCCAATGACGTTATTAAAAACAGGGAACTCACCATGTGTACACGTTACGTATGCATGTGCACCCTGCCCGGGCAGGCACGCATGCCTGTAGTGAAAATCTGATCGTGTTGACAAATTTGAAACTTTTGAAATCAGATTAGTTTTCACTATGTGAGTAGTACAGCTCTTTTGAACAGGGCTGTCTGTGGAGGATTTGTTTTAATGCACATGAGAATGAACTGATTAAGTTTCAGAAGAAAGAATTTAAAATATCTGACCATGT